ACAACAGCAGTAACAACAACAACAACAGTAGCCACAACAGCAGCAACAAGAGCACCACAACAACAGCAACAACAACAACAGCAGCAACAACAGCAGCAACAACAAGAGTAACAACAACTACAACAACAAAAGATAAAAGTATTGTTAAATTGTTTTGTTGTCGCGACTCCTTTCTGCGGGCTAAAAGTGCCTTCAGTTAGCTCTGTTGTAGCCTCTTTCGATGAAGTTATTGTTAATACTTTAAGCTCCAATTAACATTGCTTAAACGTTTGAGCGCAGGTGACTGGAAAGGACCACTGGCAGGTCCTACTTCTTCTCATTTCCTCGATTGATCCTGTCCGTCAGTACTACTTTCCCCCCTGAGCTACATGGCCATAATTGGTGGATGGTTGGCGGGTGATCTGGTGTGCTTTGCTCGCTCTTTCCTATCAAACATCGATTGCCCCTAATTCTCATCCTTCTTTTTTTCTTTCTTTTTTTTTTTTACTCTCCAGCAACACCTTTTTGTTGTTGTTATTGTTGTTGTTGCTGCTGCTGCTGGAATCAGAGAAACCGATATTGTTCGGGGGGGGGGAGGGAGGCTTAACACCTTTGATCAATAGCACTAAAAAAAAGTAAATTTGCAGGGTCCAAGGACACTGCAGCTTTGGAAGTTACCAAACTTTAGTTGCCATTTTCTCGCTGTTTTACCGTCTGACACCAGGCCACCCGGCCTCCTTGTCAAGAGTATTTTTTTCATCAAAAGCAAGACAAATAAACAAGATAATATATGATTATTCTAATAACTTCAAACTTCAAATGCACAAAAATTGACGAGTGCCAGATTCCACCGTCGGGAAAAAGGGGGGGGGGGGAGAGGGTAAACTTCCACTATTACAATTTTATTAACAGATGCTATTGGTGCAAAAGTGAAGGGGTCACTTCTGGTATTTCTTTCGTCTTCGTTTCTCTCTGCACCCACGGCCCCAGGTACTGAGTCACACAGCTCCCCGGTCCAGCTTCGTTAAGGTTCCTCTTTGAAAAGGTTTTTGACACGACAGTTGTAGTACAGTTGAAGCGATGGTGTACAGTCTTATAGCTGTTGGGTGACCAACGATTCCCACGGATTCACAGTAACTGTAAATTTGGACGGACCCCCCCCCCCAAAAAAAAAAAATCATTCTTATGAGTTTAAAACATCTTTTGAGCATGCCGTCTCATTGACCCAAATGTGAAGATTCCCCCTAGATATGCGCATTGGATCAATTAGGTTCTCGATGGAGGGTTCAAGATCACTTTTACTGCATAAGTCTGTTCGATGACCAAACGATTGTATTCGTTTTCAAAACCACCACGACCTGTTAGTTTTACTATTCTAACCCACTCCGGTCGGGTAGATCTATATTGTCGTATCATTGTGATATAATTAAAGCCCACATGGCTTCACAATAACACTGATTACTTTGGCTGGCCAAGGTCATAATAGCAAAAAGAGATCACCTTATGCGGGTTTCTTTTGTTTTTGTGTTGTAAGTTGGGGGGGGGGGGGTTCGTTTTCTTTTTACTCTTTGTTCTTTCTCTCGCGTGAGTAGAGACACTACACACACACACACACACACACTCACACACACACACACACACTCACACACACACACACACACACACACACACACACACACACACACACACACACACACACCTTTGTAAATGTGTCTGATGTTTGTTTATCGCTTTTATTGCTACGTTTGTGGCTCCCTATCAAACGTCTGTCGTCTTGATCTCCCTCCTTCTTTTTTGGGTTTGTTACTCCCTTGTAACACCTATCAAACGTCTGTCGTCTTGATCTCCCTCCTTCTTTTTGGGGTTTGTTACTCCCTTGTAACACCTTTAATCTTCGGCACTTATATTATGACCTTACTGTGTTGCAAGTGCCGTAAAACTCTTACTAAAACTACAAAAGTTAGTGAGACATTTGATCTCGATGTTGGTGCCGCTGCTTGTATCTCAGACTTGGGGGATGGGTGGGTAGAGGGCGCCACTGGTAGGTCCTACTTTCCCTCTGTTTCTGTCTGTCTGTCTTACTTTTCCCCAGCACTAAATGGCGATTTTTGTGTCGATTTGCTTCTTTTTTCTCAATCTAACAAACAAACAAACAAACAAACAAACAAACAAACAAACAGACAATCAGATTTGATGGGGCTGGGGGCGTTTCTCATCTAAAGTGACGCGCAGAACCAAACTTAAAATCATGAGGCTCGTATCTCTCACCCCAACCCCACCCCATTCTCTCTATCTCAATAAATCTCAACTGCCTTTGTGCGTTATCTTCGGTCTCTCTCTCTCTCTCTCTCTCTCTCTCTCTCTCTCTCTCTCTCTCTCTCTCTCTCTCTCTCTCCCTCTCTCCCTCTCTCCCTCTCCCCCCCCCTCTCTCTCTCTCTCTCTCTCTCTCTCTCTCTCTGCCGATGTTATTCATATGTTTATCGAATTTATCGATCACTTCAACCTATCGCTGAGATCAAAAGTCGATCAGATCTGCCAAGAGAGACGGGTTTATCTAACAGCAATGCACTAATCAGCGTTGACTATAAGCCACCCGAACTTGTTGAGGGATGCCGAGAGAGTGGAAGTTATCAGAAACTCCGATGGGCAATCAGTGAAGGAATGGAAATACATATCAGCACGTCAGAGGTCCTGAGTCCACGTCGAAGTATTATGAGACGATAAAGGGAATTATTTAAGTGCTTAAGATCTGTTTCAAGTGGCTGTGCCTGCGGGGTGTTATCAGCGATCATGTGAGGCCGCAGGGAGATAAACTAATGATATTGTCAAGGTGGCGTGACTGTTTCTGGTGCAGGTATCTCTGTGACGTGGCGGGGTATCTAGCGGCTAGGAGGAGGTCGAGGGTCGAGCCCCAGGTGGGGTGAGAAATTTCGTCGTTCTTCCGGGTGGTTTTCTCGCTCAGTCGGTTGTCGTGTGTGTGGGTTGGGGCACCCAGTGGGTGGGTTTTACCTAAGTACCACCCTGCTGATTGTTTTTTCTGTCTGTCCGTCTTGTTTTGTTTTTTTGTCTGTCCGCCTTGTTTTGTTTTTTTGTCTGCCCAGGTCTTGTTTTGTTTGGAGTTTTTTGTCTGTCCGTCTTGTTTTCGTTTTTTTGTCTGTCCGTTTTGTTTTTTTGTCTGCCCAGGTCTTGTTTTGTTTGTTTTTTTGTCTGCCCAGGTCTTGTTTTGTTTTTTCTGCCTGCCCGTCTTGTTTTGTTTTTTTCTGTCTGCCCGTCTTGTTTTGTTTTGTTGTTGTTGGTTTTTTTTTGTCTAGTAGGGACTTTGCGAAGTGGATGGATTCTGGCTTCAACGAAATACACAGCCCACTTTAAAAACCAGAACAAAAAAGAGGAAGGGGAGGGGTGCATGACGGCGGGCCACTGAGCTTCTGCACCGGCGGCAGGTACATACTGTACTGAAGGTGGCGGAAGGCTAGCTGTTCCCTACAGTGATAACCTTCTTTCTTTTATATCGTTTGTCCAGATGGACGCCGCTCTCCGGAGCGCGTGCAGTGGGCGGTCTGCCCATGTCCAAATCAAGGAGAATCCTAGAAATTTAATGTTTCCAAATCTTCTGTCTGTTTTACACTATCTAGATGATTTGGGAGGGGGGGCATAACTCCAAAACGATTTTTAAAAACCCAGCAGTTTAAAACAAAGAAGAAAAAAAAGAATGAGCCATAAACCAAATTGTTTTCTTTACGAATTTTGGTTATTATAATGATATGTGCTTTAAGATTTTCACAGCATACACAATTTTGACCACAACACAAAACAGACTGCTGCCAAATCAAATACTTTCCTTTCTCTCTGCTGGTTCTGTTTACGCTTCTTCATCATCATCATTGCCTTTCTCACCCTGCTCCATGGTATAGGCCACGGACAAACACCTTCCACTTTTCTCTATCCTGGGCTAGCTTCTTGATGTTATTCCATGTCTTCCCTCTTTTCTGTACATCGATTTCTGTGATTGTCCGCTGTCCTTCATTGTTCCTGCTGATTGCAGAAGCTCCTCCGTCTCCCAAGATCGAAAGATAAAAAGCTGTGTTTGTCCGTGTTTCTGTAACTTACTGTTTTTTACTGGGTTGGGTAGTTGGCCCTCCGCAAACTGGCACTTTTCGGGCGACCAGACCTATGCACTTTTAGTCGCCTCTTACAACACGCAGTATCACGGCAGGTGTATTCTTTGCTCCTCCATAGTAAAACTACGCCCCCCCCCCCCCCACCAGCAGGGGAGTTTACGCTTCTTACTTTTTTCCTTATTCTATATTATTATGGCTGTTATTGTGTCGATGTCCTCTTTACACATATATTAAGCTAAGCGGGTTGTTGGAGTGTGCCATTGGTAGGCCCTACTTGTTTTCTTTCCCTCTCGTGTTTGTCATTTCTTGCTTTCTCCCTGCACTAAATGACCGTTATTGTGGTCGGCGATGTGCTGACAAATGGCAGCCTGTTAAAAAAAAAAAGTGTACGTCGTTACTTGACTTCCATGTTACATGCCCTGAAGGTGCAAGGGAGTCAGAAATGACATTTGGATAAGTCTCATGCAAAAGACTTGAGTTCGATTCCCGTGTTGGGAGAGTAGTGTTATTGAGAGTTGTTGGAGCTCGAAAAATTACAGTTCGGTGAGGCCCATGTTTTGATTCAAGCCAAAGAAAAATGACAGTCCAGTAAAGCCCATGTTTTGATGCAGACCAATGAAATGACAGTCCAGGGAACCCCTTATTTTGACTCAAATCAAAGAATTAACAGTTCGTTCAGTGAGCTTTATGTTTTTGCGTGTTTTGTTCTTTTGGTATGTGTTTTGCGGGGTTCGCGACTGCATACAGTCTAATATTATGAAGGCACGGGACACATCAAACATTTTCAGTTTGGTAGGAATTACTTATGAATTTTGCCCGGGTGGCTGCGGAAGCCTACTCTCATTGATTTTAGTTTAAAGCCCATGTTTGACCGAGTCTTGTATTGTGTCTGTGTCTCCCCAGTTCTACCCGTTCGACTACGAGTGTGTGTCCAGTCTGACCACCTTCGAGCACCTGGTTTACCTGTGTCAGAACTCTGGGAGTCCAAGTCCTGATGCTGTCGCCTCTCGCCAGTCCAGGTGTGTGTGGGGCTGGGGGCGTTTCTCATCTAAAGTGACGCGCAGAACCAAACTTAAAATCATGAGGCTCGTATCTCTCACCCCAACCCCACCCCACCATTCTCTCTATCTCAATAAATCTCAACTGCCTTTGTGCGTTATCTTCGGTCTCTCTCTCTCTCTCTCTCTCTCTCTCTCTCTCT